AAAAGGACAGCTGGGCTGGGCATGGACTCCCAGGTTCAAGGTCTTTCCTCCTGTGCCCTGTGCTGCTGCTGCGGAAGCTGAGGCCGGCCCGACGCCTTCTTCCACAGGTGGCCTGCGCCCCTTCTCTGGAAGTCCGCAGGCTGCCTCTGCTGCCTCGCATTTCGTCAGCAGCGTGTCCAGGCGTGGAGTTCTCCTCATCTGCTCTGACGCGCATTCTCTCTTCAAGCTTTCCTCATCTCACTTTCCCCTCCTTTTGTGACGTTGCCACCTCTGTTTCCAACCTCTAAACCCAGGTTTGTAATGTGCCTTTTCATTCCAGGCTGCTTCCTGGGAGCAGAGTCAGGCTGACTCTCCAGGCCCCTGGCTCGCTCCGTGGCGCATCTCCCTCCCTGTGCTGTCGGCTCCAGTATTTCTTCTGCTCGGTCTCACTCTGCCTCGTATTGCTAATATCTTCACCTGCCTTTTAAGAATGATTTTGTTTCTTAAATTTCAGTCCCATTCCTTCCAGTAAGTGGGCTTCATCTGTCCAGTCCGTGGTCTCTTAGGTGAGGCACGCTAGTTACCGTGGCTCTGAGTCCGGGCTCCCCCCGCAGGCTTCAGCCCCGGATCGGCGCCAGGGCAGAGAACCCCAGGCATTCAGGTCACACTGCTGCCCACTGTTTTCACTTTACCAAGTATCTCTTTTGGTCAGAACTGCAACCTTCAACCCGGAGGCAGCAGCACGGAGGCGGGCCGTCTCCCGAGGCTGTAACCCCCCAGCTCTGGGGTGGGGAAGGCGCGGGGCTTCCACTTCTATTAACAGCGGACTGGCTAATTCAGACCAGCCTCCCACTGAGGACAACTATAAATACTGGACAAAATGTTAAATATTCTGACTGAAGCCACGTGTGGGCCTCAATAGGGTCTGAGCTTAGACGGCCCAGCAGCCTTCTGGAAGGCACTCGAAGGCCTGAGCCCCTCATCCAGGACCCTGGGCTGCCTCTGCCTCAGTCCCCGTTGCCTGACAGTCTTTTCTCTCACGTGTGTGAGTCAGTTACTTTGTATTCTCTTGCAGAAATTCCTCAAAGATCCAAAGTCAAGACGTTGGTTTCAGCCTGAAGACAGAGTTTATATACGAGCCAAAGTCACCGTCTTGAGCTAGGTGTTTTTGTTTTACAGCAAAAAAAAGGGTTATCCTGCCAACGTTAACAGGTGAATGGAGCGCGGGCTGCGCTGCACAGTGTGAACAGGCGAGGACGCGTGGCAGCTCGCCCTCCTCCCGCCCGCCTTTTCTCTCTTCTCTCTCTTCCCTCCGTGCTGTTTTCACTCCCAAAGGAAACCGGCAGACCATCTCTGGGCTCTGGGGAGAAGAGGGTGACACGCCCCACACGCTCAGCACTCCGGCGACCCCGGTTGCAGTGGCTGTCCTCGTGGCGTCAGGTCACGCGTGTGCCACGTCTGTACCCTATGAACCACAACAGCCGCAGCGCCTCCCACTTCTGACCCCCGAGAATTCCATCCACCAGGTGCCGCATGTTCCAGTCGCAGCTCCGGCGTCTGGCCCCGAGTCCACTGTGGACGGTGCAGGCTGCCAGGGTCCTGTGACGCACAGGCAGCTCCCGGCCCGCAGTCCCGTCCCCGAGGCCTTCTTGCTGGATACACACTGGCAGGTGGTGGCGAGGGTCCTCGTGTGGGAAATGACTGGGGTCTCTTTCCCCAGAAAAACATCACGGGAGCCTACCAGGTCGGCAAGAAGCCTCCCAAGCCTGCGGTGACGGTGGCCAAGATCTCGGCCCCGGCCACAGACGCAGTCCACAACTACAGCATCCAGGCCCTGAACTCCACCGAGCTGGCCAGGAAGGAGCTGTACCGGCAGATGGCCAAGGTGAGTGACGGGCGCGGCGCGGGGGGCCGGGAGCGGCCCAGCGCCTCCCCTCCAGCCGGGACGGGGACGCGGGGATGATTCAGCGCGCTCCCGCGTCCTCTCTGACCAGACCGCCTGTGGGGCTGCAGGGCATCTCCAGGGTCGGGGGACGCTGGGCAGGGTGTGCGTGGCTGCAGGCAGTCCCAGGTTCCCGGCCCCAGGCAGGCTCTCATTGCTGCTGGTGAAAGGCAGCTGTCCACCGAGGAAGAAGCCTGGGCTCCGGCTTCCAGTCCACAACAGCATCAGAAAAGCTTCAGTCCGAGGGGACAAAGGCGTGACCCTCGTGGGGCTGCTGCAGGGTGAAGCAGCCTGCCCCCTTCGCCGTCGGGAACCATCGATGGCCCCCGCTGTTCCTGCCCCTGCCTGGAGACCTGAGCTCTGCTGCCAGCCCTTCCATCTGCACTTGCACTCATTTTCAGGAGCCAAGGAAGAGATTCACGTACTCACAGAACTACCTCTCAGCCATGGTGGAGCCTCAGGATTCGGAGGAGGAGGAGAGAAAAGCCAAGAGGAAGTCCCGCCAGGCCTGGCTCACGCCCACCGGCTTCCAGGTGACGGGCCTTCGCCGGGTTGAAAGCACCGAGCACCTCGGGCTGCCAGCCATCGGCGCCCCGGCAGAGGTGGGTTTGGGGGAGCGGCGGTGCCCGGGAGGGGTGCTTGCAGGCCCCCCTCCTGACGCCCTGCTCCCTGCTCAGGAATGGAGGGAAAAGGCGCTGTTTGCTAACATGCTGGCACCGGTGCTGCCCCGGGAGAGGTGGAGCTGGGACCGGCGCCACCAGGACTTCGAGCTGTACAAGAAGCCACCGCAGTTCCTGGAGCTGCCCCCTCCTCCAGCCCCGAAGCCCAGAGCAGGTACCAGTTGACACCCTTGCAAAGCTTAGTCCCCGCTGCCGTCGGCAGGAACTCAGCGCCCCCTCCCTCTGCACAGCACCGTGTCTCAGCTCCACGCGTCCCGTGCTGGGGCACCAGGAGTCAGGGTGGGACTCTGACACCTGGACCCTGGTTCCAGCAGTACTGCTAACTTGTGTGACTATGGCCAGGGCCCTTCATTGCTCTGGGCCTGGTTTTTTAGCTATAAAAGGGAGAAGTTGGGAGATGGGTCTAAGGGCTTTGAGACCCATGGCTGGTCCCTGGAGGCCAGGCCAACAGCTGGGGGCAGAGGCTCCGGGCCTCAATGGGGCCATCGGGCTGCCTCCCAGCTCTGAGACACTGCCAGCTGTCCCCCCATGGGGGGAGAGGCCTGGCTACACCAGCCCCTCCAAGTCCTCGTCACCCCTCTGCTTAGGAAGAGGGACCACAAAATCATTTATAGGTTGACAGAGAACCAAATTTATCTAGTAACAGAGCCAGAAACTTTGCTCAGGAAGAGAGAGTTGAGTTGATCTGGCAACAGGTCTCCCTGGAGAGCCATACACCATGGGTTTCCTTCCTTCCCCAATTCCCAAGGCCACTTGTAATAGCCCTGTGAGACAGCAGGAAGGGCTGACAGGCCCCAGGCTCTGAGGCTGCCCGAGGTCTCCTGCCACCTGTAGGGGGCCCGGGCTCGCCCCTCCGGCCAGCGTGCCCCTTCCCAGCACTGGCTCCCGGGCACCCTGCCGAGGACATCCCACCCCACAACACAGGGAAGAAAAGCTCCGTCTCAGCGAGGGAGGGAGAGTGAACTGGCTGCCCGGCCTTTTAAACTCAGCTGGACAAAGAGAACCTGCTGCTGATGGGGCT